TATTGATACTTGTAATGGCTCAACAGGGCCACCACTTACGGGCTATTCATGCCCGTCCCACCTTTTGGGTGGCTTAATCTTCATGAATCAATCTAAGCAGAGCAGTAGTAACATCTAGAAGTCTGCTGATTTTGTTGGATGAACCATACATGTGTAGCTCCTCTTGCATGATATTATGATGATAGATGGAATTACTGATCACAGATGCAAGAAAACTGACATTGAATAACAAGAACCTCCACGCAAGAGATACCATGTCCACGATGATACTTTTTAAGACATTAGTGCTCTCCAGAGAGGAATGTTGTTGCACAACACCCACATTCAAATCTAGAGAAATTGCTGACCTGCTGAGTGTGCAAAGTTCTTTTACTGCTAGAATCCACTGATTAAAACATTTGATTTATTGGGACAACATAAAAATGTTAAGTCTGTATTCCCTAGGGGGGAGAAATGTATAATAATTTACACTTGCAAAATATTAGGTGATTCCAATTATGCACACAAGTAACACCACATGAGACCGACGCACACAGAAATAACACCACATGAGACCGACCACACAGAAATAACACCACATGAGACCACGCACACAGAAATAACACCACATGAGATCAGAAGGCATGGCAGGTTGTGCAAAATAGCCCCACTGAAAAACAGAGGTCCAGTAACCATGCTCAGAGAGCACCATCAACATCAAAGGCCCAAGACTTTTCAATATGCTTCTCTTACACATGCAGGGGGGGGGATGTTGGAGGACCTCTCGCAGTGTTTAAATATAAGAGAACTCTATTTCCACCTTCAAAAGATACACGATTAACCTCGCTTTGATTCGTACATCTGTCTGTCAACAGCCGCATCAAACAGCCTGATTGATCAGACCAGCAACCAGGAGGCCTGGTCAGAGACCAGACCGCTGGAAACTTTATCTGGTTGATTAACCTGGTTGATGGGGTTCTGGGAGTTCTACTCCCCAAGCCCGACCCGAGGCCACGCTTGACTTGTCACAGTTTGGTCCACTAGGCTGTTGCTTGGAGCGGCCCGCAGGCCCACATATCCACCACAGTCCGGTTGGTCCGGCACTCCTTGGAGGAATAAATCTAGTTTCCTCTTGAACATATCCACGATGATCCTTAGAATCCTCAACAGCTAGGCAAGAGGATTGTCAGATGTGTTAAGAGTCGTACCACCCACAGGATGAGTATGGCGTCCACTACCACCCGCAGGATGAGTATGGGGTCCACTACCACGAACGTTAATACATGAACCCCCCAATTGTGTACGTCATACCTTTCAACCATCTGACTGTAATGAAGTGTACGGAACCTATATCATTGCATCATTAATTTCCTTCTGCTTGTGGTACAAGAACATTGGGCAGTGAAGATGCTAATTACTGCAGTAGTCAGCCACTTGTGACCACCGTGAGGATAAGTGAATGTCTTGTGTTTGGGAGTGAAACATGCAAATGCATACCATTGATTTTGTTTAAACATGGTCTTGTGTCATTGCCTGTCCATGAAAGTAACTCAATTACAATTGCTTGCAATCACAGGTGGCGGTGGAATCTGAGAAACTGAAAATATTTTAATTAACCTGTATCCAGCACTGAGTGAAGATCAAGTTCAAGTATGTTTATTAAGACAAGAAAGAAATACATCTCAAAAGGACAGGAGTGAAGATTCTTCCAAGTGCCGCTAAGTGTAGCGGACGTGATAATTCCACCACACACATATATCAATAACTATGTGTATGAGATATTTATGTTTTATGCATGCACATCGATTTCAGATATTTCAATTTCATCCTGTAGCCCACTGGAACTCCGGAAATCCTTTTGTAATTGTGGCTAGTAAGTAATTATCAAACAAGGCACCAAGTCGTGTAGCTAGTACAACAAGTCATGTAAACCAGAGTAAAGACCTGTGAAGACCTCGAGAGGGCTCAGAGCAGTAAGTAATTCTAAGAGAGTATTTCAGTGAGACAGAGACACGTCTCTCGCTCTGATTAGTTTTATATGTATACTTCTTAAAATAGAGAACCCCTCCCACACCATATACATTGAATTCGGCAGTAATAAATAATTATGTGTATTGCAGACGAGGAGTCACAATAACGGTCTTTCACAACAGGCTGAAGATACGATATCAAACCACACAGTATATGAACAAACGACAACGTTTCAGTTCATGCGGGACCATTATCAAGTCCTTCATAATGGTAATTATAGTTACCATTATCAAGGATTATAATTACCTTGATAATGGTAATTATAATTACCATTATCAATGTTTCTAGACCAAAACGTCATCGTATTTTCATATTCTATGTGTGACATGAAACTCTATGTATTATCTGTGAACCTTTTTCTTCATATTAAACTGTCATGCCCCATCTGTGAACCTTTTTCTTCATATTAAACTGTCATGCCCCACATGTGAACCTTTTTCTTCATATTAAACTGTCATGCCCCATCTGTGAACCTTTTTCTTCATATTAAACTGTCATGCCCCATCTGTGAACCTTTTTCTTCATATTAAACTGTCATGCCCCATCTGTGAACCTTTTCTTCATATTAAACTGTCATGCCCCATCTGTGAATTATATTCCTGCTAACAACTACATCTATAAATTGTGATATGAAATAAGACTAGCTCCCTGCCTAAATCCAAATTGAGCAGACACACCCACAGTTCATTGGGATGTCTGTCATGTGGAGTTTACCTACAAAGAAAATAGGCAAAGGGCTATCATGCTTGAGCTGTACATTGTTGCTCTGAACACTTTACTCCATGGATAACCTCTGTGGGGCTGTTGGCCATATTACAGCTAGATCACATATATTTTCCTCAATGAGAAATTAAAACTTGATAAGAGATCTTCACTCAATTCTGAGAACACAAAGTTATCAGCTTGAGTATAATCTTATGTTTTTTTTTCTGTATGGAATGTGATACTCTTATTTTTTTGAGAACTAAGTAACATTTTGGTGTGTATTCAGTCTATATGAAGATCTATATGATATCTATATATCTATTCTTCATTCAACTGAAACTATAAAGTATGTTGACTAATCCACACACTAGAAAGTGAAGGGACGACGACGGTCAACATACTTCAGCCACGTTATTGTGGCTCCTCGCCTGTATAAAGTGTGTAATAATTTGGTAATGAATACTTATTCAGAAAAATGTCACTGTTGACTTTTTTGAGCCTCGCTTGCATTCAATACCAATGACCATGATTTGTGTATATATAATCTTCTTGACTGCTCTATTATTGTTACAATTGAATATTTCTGATTGGCCAACTTAAGTGATTGTTGGTGTTGTCTAAGTTAGCTTCTTTGTTATACTGTATTCAAGGCTCTTTTTTTTCTTGAAATGGTATTGTTTATTGTTTGGAAGTGGTTAGCCTTATTATTGGGATGCTCATGTGCTTAAAATATATATATATATATTGTATGCAAATTATTGATACATATTAATACAAATTATTAATAATGATACCAAGTATGCATTTTAATTGTGAACATGGATATTGCAAAGCTTGACATGATCATCTGATAGAAAATGTTCATCTACTGAAATACATGATTTGATTACCTTAATCTCAAAGGGTTGCAGTTTGGAAATTTTGGCAATGCTAGTTTACCGCATGTCAGTGTGGTTAGCAAATCTGGGTGTTTACTCTAATTCCTTCATTGTCATTCGATAGACAAAGTGTTTGTTATATCAGTGATATGCAGATTGCAATTTTCACACTTGTAATCTCTGTGGTGTTAGATAATTTTTGGATAAGAAGAGCATCTTAGTACTCAGTCATAAGGTTGTTGCCTCTGGAACCAATTTTTTGTCATTTATTTATTTATTTATTTATACTGTATATATACAAGAAGGTACATTGGGATTGTGAGGATACATAACATAGTAATTACATTCTTGTAAAACCACTAGTACGCGCAGCGTTTCGGCCAGAAACGGTCATTGGTAATAGGTATGCCATACTTGCTGTTAGATTTCAGTCTGTATTGAATAGAACTATAGTACTAGTACTGTTATTCCTTCCAGTGCAAGTTCCTACTAGTCCCTATTTATATCATCTACATTAGCTCTCCAAAAAGGAAAGGACTCAGTTTAAATGTTGTACTGACATTCAGAGCTTTTAAGATTAATGACAAATATTTGGCTGATATATGTTTTTCTTACATCAGGTTCTGGAATGACTTGACGGATTGCCATAGACCGCTAAAGATGGGATGAGCTGGATGATGCTGGTAAGTTTGTGGAAAGAGCCTATTTTATATAGTACCACAATTGTTTAGCCAGTTACTTGTGTCTGTTTAGAATTATATTTCCTTGTTGAAAGTGTATCTTTTTCGTCTAAGTGCATCCAAAGTGTATTTGGAATATAAAAATGTAATTTTTGTTTTGTGTGGTTATTTACTACACAGTGGTTGAGCACTTGTAAGATTTAATACAAAAAACAAAAATTGGGTGCTCAAGCAAACAAGTCTTTATTATTAAATTATTAACCAATATCACTGTTCTCCTAAGGAACATGCAAACAGAAAATGCAGTTGCTCTGAGAAAGATTGTGCCTGATCTTGTAGTTTAATCAACAGCATTCATTATTTTAGATACTGTATTTCATAAACCCAGTGTTGAATATAATGAAATGCCTCTTTCTTGAAGAGCCCAGTGGCTGCCTGAAAGTATCTTGCCGAGACTACTCCAGACAAATAGTCACATCAGTTGCAGAAGTTCTGTTTGGCCTACAAGAGCCAGATTCTGGCCCCACTACAGAGGTGCAAGGACTGGGAGACAATTCACCACCCCACTGGGAAAGGTATGCAGAAAGCCGAGCAAAGCTTTACAGACAACTGGATGGTTCGGCGAAAATGAGGCCTCACAATTGCAAAACAATTCTGAAAATTATTCACACAGAACAGGAATTCACTCAAACTAGCTCAATACGCCTTAGAGCTGATCATCACCACCAGGCGGCCCAGCCCCCAAGCCTGTAGCCCGCTGCCCTGACCAGGCAGTCTTGCCTACCGACAAGCCTGCAGGGAGAGGCAAGAATCAGGGAGCTACCAAGGCTATACAAGAAAGAGTTGTTTTAATTGTTTTACATTCAATGCTGGGTCTCTGGTGGAGCCTTCCACAGTGGCTTCCTAAGCTAACTAACCACAAAGAACAAAAATGGAATTTACCAGGGAGGAGAGATTCCTCACTTCTAAGCAGGCACTAGGACGAAGAAGAGAACCCAGACCGGGAGATATGGGCCAAAGTAAAATATAACTGACCAAGATCCTGAATATTGACTAAATACCAGACTGCTAGAGCCCTCATAGAATGCCAAAACCCTCGAACTTGAATATCAGCTCCAAGACATGTTGCAGAAGATGCATCCAAGCAGTGTATTTGTGAACATCATGATCTCGAGGGTAAACTGCATGCTGGCTAGATTTAATGGCACTCTGGATGACCTGGGAAATACCAGTCTTGAAACTGGGTCAGTCAATAAGGCATCTACCAAGGCAGAACTGGTGCCCTGCAAGTAGTGGCAAAGATATTGCTGAACACAACAAATGATTGAAATAAACACAACAAATGAAATAAATATCTCTTTGATATCCCCAGGGTCAAACTTAATCTGTGTAAACACACTATGCAAATAAAGGGACCTAGTCTATGGAACTCACTCCCTAATGAATTGAAAAGCTGTCAAACTTTTGCCTCATTCAAAAACAAAAACAAAAAGTACCGTATTTCATCTTCATAGTTTCCTACACTGTACACTTTCCTAACACATCTAGTGTTACCCAATCTCCAAATCTTTATGTACTTAATCCAAACTACTTTACCATTGTGATCATTGATGTCTTCTTTTATGTGGTAGCTATATGCTGTATTGTGCTTATTAATTTTTTTTAAACTACCATTCAAGCTGTCAATGCAATCAATCTGAGCTACCTATGTGCTTTAATATACCTACAAATTTCTCTCATTTTTTTCTTGCAATGTACCTGTTATCATTATTATAAATTTTGCTACTATTTACCTACTTAAAATTTTCTTAGATTAAGGACCTGCCCAAAACGCTGTGCGTACTAGTGGCTTTACAATAATGTAATTACAATGCTGTGTATCCTCACAATCCCAATGTACCTTCTTGTATATAAATAAATGATGCACCCCCAGCCAAACCAACCAAGCATCAGTTACCAAAGGACCCTTGTGGAAGTCACCAAATTATTCTTTGTCAGAAAAGAAGGAGAAAGATGCAAATGATCAAACTGCCTACCAGGGTCAAAAGAGCAAAATGCTCATGTCTGAAGAGGAGCCTAAAGCTCCTCAACCCTACAGTCAAAGGGCCAGGGAGGTACTAAGTTCCACAGAACACACTGAAACAAATTGAAGATGGAAACCTTCAGAAATAAGATGTCTGAGGTGCTGAATGGGGCCTAAAATCTAACCTGAGGGGAGAAGCCCAAATATTAAATTTGTACATAGATGAGAGAGAAGAAAAATTCTTCCCAAGGCATAGACCTTCCACAGAGGGGAACCAAAGTCCGTGATGGGTTGAAGGGCACCCAAGGGGCCCCTCATCAGGTTACCCCTCATCCCGGGAAGCTGGCAATAAAGGTTCTGGGGCAGAACCAGAAGGCTCATCTGTCTCCTTCATCAAAGTGGATGGAACCACCCTAGAGAGAGAACCACCTACACCCTATCCCGACTGGCGAGACCCTCAGACATTTTGGCATGAAACCAGAGGGAAGGGGGGGGGGGAGGGTAAAGACCAGAGGCAGAGCAAACCATACCCACGGGAAGGAAAAGGAGGTGCAGATTAAATTCACATGGCAGTCACCAACACCTCCAATTCTGGGTCCCTAAACACCATAGGGGCCAACTCTGGAGCATCCAGATAACAAATATGCCACGAATGCCTAACCCGAGCAAACCTAACTTGCAAAGTGGCAGGTGCATTAAAGGCTTTGAGTTTCAAAGCTGAATCAGTGAAGAGACCCAGTGAGATCAAGCCTCACATGACTCGGGGTTGTAGGTGTCACTGACTCGGCATGGTTGAGGCAGAAAGAATGATCGTCAGGTAGCAAAAACGATGAACAACCTTCAAGCTTGCACTCGGCGAGTGCAGGCTCAACGGGCTTATCCATAACAGACCATGCCAGAGACCCGTGAAGAGATTACCAGGGCCCGAAGGTAACTAAGCAAGCAGAAACCCCAGACACCAAGGTACCTCACCAAAAGAACAGTCACCAAATGCTGCCAAAACCAGGTTACAAATGGCAACCGTGTCATTCTGTATAAACAAGCGTGCAAACTCCAGTACACCCCAGCACAATATAAAATCCCCTCAGCCAAGGACCCAAACAGAGGAGTCACAGATCCATGGTTAGCCAAAGGTGAGGCTTCTCCACTCCAGTGGTCTGGTCTCTCGGGAGTTTGCCCGAGATGCCGTGCCACACCAGAGATATACAAACTCTGACTGTGCAAGGATAGCGCTAATGGGCACCCGGGGAAGAAATCCCCTAAGTGCATGTAGCCCAATGCACAACAAAAGCCAAGCCCACACACCAAGCTGGAATTAAAACATGCACATATATCTAACACTAAAATGAAGGAAGTCAAAACAAGAAAATGAGCCCTGCAGGACAAAGACTGACGAGGGTCGATACTTAGCTTGAAGCTGTGGGGCCTGCCCATGACTGGTGGACTGGAGCATTAAGAAACATCCACCATAACATCAATAGAACAGACTGGTCAAGAGAGCCAGCTGTGGGCTGGGGCCAGACATCCAGGGGCCAAGTGGCAATTGGTACTAATGAGCTTCAAGCTAGTTTGAGTAAATCCCTTGCTTTGTTTGAATCCTTTGTGGAGTTGTTTGGCAGTTTTGAGGCTTCATTTTTTGTGAACTCTTCAGTTGTCTGTAAAGTTTGCTGACTTTCTAGATGCTTTTCCAGTGGGGTGGGGAATTGTCAGTTGCTTCCTGTGAATTGTGTGGGGGAAGAGGGGGATGACCAGACTCTGACTCAGAGGCTAAATAGAACTTCCACAACTATTTTGACTATTAGTAAGTAATAATGTCAGCAAAATAGTTCCAGGAGCTACTGAGGGGTCAGGGGAGGGTGGTGGGGGAGCCCTCAGAAACATTTATAGGCATGGCCCAAATAACTGTAAACCTTTGATGCATAAATCAGTGTGCCACATAAAATTAGTTGCAGTATTTTTACTCCAACACCATCTTAGATTTCATATTAGCAAAACCAAATGTAGAATTTATTAGTATTAAGCTAAAGATATATCATGTTCTTGTTCTTTATTAACCTTGTTATAAGCATATACAGGATGTATATATAATGCTTACTGAAGGTAACAGCAGTGGTCAGTCACATATGGGAAAATTGTTCTAACATAGAATTTAATCTGCTGTAAATACTTAATTTACTGGGATTGTAAGCGAGTTTAAAGTTTTATTGGCAAAGCCAAAGTAACAAGACACCTGTTGTGATTAGCATATATACTGTACTTGAAAATGAATTAAGTCTATAGTGTACACTCTACATTATTAAAACAGTTAACACTGAAAAGCATCACTGAAAGTACTCAGAGTATGGGTAACAATGTGTATCAGTGATGGCTGATACACGACCGACGGCTCTGTAGAAGAAGGTGGACGATGTACCGGATGTGCAAGTAATATATTTGAACAATCTTCTCTCGTACATACAGCAATGAAGCGCGTCAATGACTGGGCAAGTGCAACTCAAACCAAACTTGCAGGCATATACCTTGCCACTGAATTTTTAAAAGACAAAGGCAGTGGACTTATATACTGTGACTTGCAGAGTGCACTCCCGGCGTTGAACGCACATAGTAGTGACACCCAGAAAATAGTCAGTGATATTCGAATGAATGTTTTAGCTGCTAAAGAAAACAGATTTCAAATTAAATTCCTATGGATACCATCACATGTTGGCATCTCAAGGCATGACACTGTTGATATGCTTGCAAAGACAGCTTGTAGGAAACCAGTACTAGAAAGGGTGTTTCATTAGCAGTGACAAAGAGAATACTTAAACAAATATCTAATGACCAACCTAACAAATTCACAAAGACCTGAAAGTTGTAGCATTAAATATTGATAGATATCGTGAGGAGACATTCACATATGGGACTAATAGAACAAGAACCCGGCAATGTGATGTTATAGTGGCCAGAATACACCTGGGATATAGACGTACAGTATCTGGCAGCTTTCTCAAAACCCAAATGTCGAGTACACAATGTGTCAACTTCGTGAAAGAGAAAATATGCACTCGCTTGAACATTATATTGTAGAATGTCCCATATTGACTGACTTTTGCCCTCCTGGGCTAAGGTATGCTGAACTGTGTAATTACTACATGAGTACTGGAACACTTGATGATATATTGGACTTATACTCAAGATTAACCATGTAATGTATCAATTATACAATGTATGTATGTGATGTAACTATATAACCTGAGCTTGTAAAAGCATCTTAATCACCTTCAGTGATTAAATGCTTAATTGCATACTAGTTTCTCTATCAGCTATCTCACCCTGTCAGAGTAAAAGAGACAACTGTATGTGAATGCATGTGTGTATATATGTATGTATATATGTATATGTGTGTGTGTGAATGTATATGTATGTGTATAAAGTATATATGGAAGCTGATCAGAATTACATTTCACCTTTGTAAATGCAAATTAATGACACTATGTAAAAGACACATCGAACACTTTATGTAGGGCATACGTAAATCTATGTATTTATGTACAGTATGTAGGTTAGCTCAGCATTTTAAAAGCACCGAATCACCTTCTGTGGTTGATTGTTCAATAAACCCCTGAACTATATGTTTAATACATCTCTAACCCTGTCCATGGAGGACAGAAGAAAATGTATATATGCTGGTTAGTATTGTAAATGTATGGCCACATTTGTGGTAGAAAATAATAATTTTTTTTTTTTAAGTCTATAACAGTGAGTGTGGCTCCCTGAAGGTAAACCTAAAGGGTGTTTGAAATGTGCGGCAGGATAAAAGCAATTACATACTAGGCAGCAATCTGAATAAATAAACCATGTTCGTTCAATTATGTGTAACACTGTAAATTTGCCTCGACTCACCACAAACCATGCTGGAGAGTAGTTGAATTGTTAGTCGAGTTTGCCAAGAGCAGGGTGTCTTTTGCATTGTGTGTATAGTATCTCTTAATCCAGAGCAAGTTTGTGTATGTGTAAGGTTAGACAGGTAAACACGTACTGTACTGTATTTACAGTAAGGATGTGGATTACTATGAGCACTTATGAAGGGCAATACATAACACTGCATGTCTGAAGTTGTATAACTTCTTGTTTGTATCACTAACTTTGTTTACACTACAGTACATCATTTGTGGTTAAGGAATACAAATCTGTACAGTATTAATATTTGTTATGCCTACTATAGTGCAGTGTGTGTACATCCACAAATATGGTAAATGTTAATAGTGAAGTTCTCTGTACAGTACTAACAATCAACATATGTAGTTAGAAGTTCTATCATGGGTACAGTGGTCTACATTCCTAACCCCCAATTGAGGATCCCGGGTTCAATCACTGGAACAAAAATGGTTGGGCATGTTCTCTTTGACCTGATGGTCTGTTCACTTAACAGTAAATAGGT